TGTGTTGTTTTAAAACCGTGTTTCGGATTTTGCTCTGTGTCTACTCTGAAAGGAAAAACAAGGAGCCCACTGGCAGGTGACAAAAGCCAGGGTTACAGGGGCCTACAGCCCTCAGCCTAGCTGGCTTGGACTCAGACCAGACTGCCACAGGGCTTCAGAGACTCTCCCACTCCCCTTAGGGGGGGGACTGGCCAGAGATCTGGAGTCATTCACAGAGAGGGAGACTAACCCAGTGTTGCTGCGGTGTGTGGGTGGCCTCCTTTCAGCCACACTGGCCCAGGATGGCTGCCGGGAGGGCCCTTGCCAGCTGTTTGAGCTCTCTAGGACAGGGCACCGGGTGTCCTTGAAGAAGGGGCGCAGGTCGGGGCAGAGTAGGTACACTGTGTGCTGACCCCAAAGCTCGAGAAAGATAGAGCGCATGGACCGGACTCTCGGGGAAGCTCTGGCTGGGTTCCACTGGGAGGCTGGACTGATTTGCTGCCACTGACGCTGCTTAGGGTTGGGAGTGCCCCTAGCCCTTTGGGCTGTGCCCTGTGCGGATTTGTCTTTAGGAGACCTCCTCCCATCCTCAAAATAAATAAAAGGGGGCCTCGCCCCATCCCCAGAGTGGATGGGGGGGACCTCAGACAGCAGGGGCTCCAGTAGTGACACTGCCCTCTAGAGAAGTGAGGCCCACTACAGCTCTTTTGCCCTGCAGGTGGGAGAAGTCTCCACCACAAATTCATAGCCTCTGCAAGTGGGCTCTACTCACCCGCTGAACCAAGAGTTAGCAGAGGCTTCCTTGACTCCCGAAAACGGAGCTGCAGGGCCCCCACCTTCAGAGGCTGGCGGGACCTCTGCCCCACCTCCACTAGTGACTGCAGCCTCAGTAAACCACCCCAATGGGTGAAGGGTAGCTTTGTGGTGCCTCCTCACCCACAAGTAGGAAGGGGCCTTGGGGGCTTCCGGGGTTCCTGAAACCGGAGTCCTAGGACCTTTGCAGGTAGGCAGAACCAGAGTCGGGGTACTGCTATTTTAGGTAAAATAGATGAGCCACGTGAGTGCCCCACCTGGAGGACAGAGCATTCATGGGCGTCACCATCTTAGAACTGGCTAAGGCTTCTTTTCAGATTATGAGCTGTATGCTGCTGCTGTGTGGACACTGCAGCAGTCAGGTTCTCTGTGCAACTGGTTCTGATAGGAACACCTCTAGTTTTGAAGGTCATGATCTGAGGTCCAAGGCTGACCATCTGATTTATAGGGTGTTTGCAAGGTCTAAGCTTCAGAAATGTGGAAAATGTCCCTGCAAATATAGAGACTTTTAGTAGAAGATGCCTATAGTGCTAGGGACTTTTAGCTGCCAGATATTGAGTTTAAGGACAGTCCTTCCCAGTGTGAGAAAGGAACAGGGATTAAAAGTGAATTATGGATAAATCTGGATAGGTAAAAAGGCTATAGAAGGTCTGTAAATATTGCAGAAAGTCTGTGGGAAGCTATAAAAATAAATGGAGATGTGAAAGTTTTAGAAAGAAATTATGTGGTGTTAGTGATAGAAGCTGTAAGGCATGGAGATGCATCTTGATAGGTATTAGAAGGAGAAAGATTTCCCTTCAAGCTTTGTGGGGTTTTTTTTCTCCCTACCTGATCCCTCCAGAATTTGGCATTCTGAAGGATTAAATGATAATGTAAGGTTTCTTTGCATAAAACCAATAAGACCAGTCATTAATAGTAGTTTTGTTAACCAGGACTTTGACTGGAATGTCACGCCTGAAGGAGGCATGTATGGGTTCTGGTCATTACCAGAAAGCTCAGAGGAACTAGGATTGACCTGTGAAGCTAGCGAAAAAGCCCACAAGAAAAGCCTGGTACTTTGGTTAGTTGTGTGGTTCCAGCCAGCCTTTCCAGGGAAGGAATGAAGGTTGCTTTGCTGAAAGATCGCTAAAAAGGAACCTGTAGATACAACAGAGGCTCAAGGGTTTGAGTTAAACGACTAGTACAGGTGAAGCCAGATGGCAGATGTGTGGCTCTGCTTCTGTGCCCCGAGGGGCAGACTGAGAAGTCAATCTGAAGGTTCCCTGTGTGAGTTCCAGCAAAGCAGACTTAAGGATCAGAAGTGATCCAGGCTGCTCTTGGTGTGTTTATGCAAATGAACAGTCAAAATCAAAAGCAGGACCCAAAGTAGTCCCTGTAATAACAGTGAGGGTAATCTTAAGGAGAAAAATTATAGTTCAAGGAAAAATCACTATATTCAGTATTAGAAATCAGAATGGCACAGCTAACTGTCTTAAAAGTTTATTTTCATTTAAGAGTTGAAACCAGGGTTGTGATGTCACCAGAGATGTACAATATACAAGTGCAAAGGACCTGTCATAATCCCACAGTAAATGTCATTGCAAGAAAGGCCTTGCAATAGAATGTCACCCCAAAAGACAGTCTCATAGGCACAGAGACTGGTTTGGGGATTATTATATGAATTAACCTGTATATTCTGTTTTCATAGGGTGTATGCCTATGCCTATGAGTAATTAGTTACAATGTAGGCCTCACTTAAGGAACCCATCTTTGTCATCGCCCCCTAAGACTCCACGGTTTGATTGAACTAAGTAACTAACTTGATAAAAAGTTAGGGCAGTCTATAGGCTTCACTTTAGAACTGATTTTCCCCTTTCTGCCTTGATAGCTTGGACAGAAAGGGCTCAGAAATCTGAAAGGAGGGAAATCCTAATGTATTCCCCTCAGCCTGAGTAAAGTATAGTAGGCCCCAAGAGTCTTGGATAGGTGTAGCATGCCTTGTACACCTTCCTCCAGATAAGCCATTCTTTACTGAAGTATCTGCCTTTGTCAATTAATAGTTATGATTTAATTGTACTTCCAATTTCTTGCCTAATCTGTCACCTCCAGAATACAACCTGACCAGGATGCCAACAGTCCAGTAATGGCAGCCTTTGGACACCAAGCCTGCGACGTCCAGGTGACAGGCTTGTAAGGTCTTTCCCCTTACAGGAAGGACCCTGTAAGGTCTTTCCCCTTACAGGAAGGACTCTCTCTGTGCTGCACCCCCCCCTTTCAGGGCACCCCTGACCCAGGGGTAGGTAGGACAGCATCCATTTCCAGCCTGAAGCAGTTACAAGAAGATAAGACCTTCGTCCATTTTCCTTTATATAATTATAAAGTAGATATAAATCTGAAAGGAAGAATATTGATACAAGGTGCAGCCAAGGGTGGGGCCCCGGAAAGGATTTAGGATAAAGTCCGAAGTTCAGGGTGTCCAAAAATTATTGAGATAACTTCACCCCCCAGGGGGAAAGGACGAATAGAGCAGGGCCATTGAGAGATATTTTGCATAGCAACGGTTTTGCAGCTGACCTCTAGAATAATTATTTGACATATCTATAACCTTTAACTAGTTTTGTAGATATATTAAATAGTGTGGCCAAGCTTAGAACTGGGGATAAAGTCACTTACCCAGGATGTAACTAAGGACTGAGCCCCTGAGGCGGGGGGGGCTGTATAAGAGGTTAGAAAAGATCGACTCCAGGACATGAAGGGATAACTGCCCAGGTGAGGAGAGCCACACGGTTTGGGGCAGAGTGAGGATTTCTACAGTCATGTGGGAGAGAGCCATGCGGCTTCAGTGAAGTAAAAACCCCCTCTTTCCCAGGTAAAAGGGAAAACCATGCAGCTTTGCCAGAATAGAGATCCCTACAGCCAGGTGAAGAAGAAAGCCACACACTTTTAGCAGAATACAGACCCCTGCAGCTTTGGTAGAGGAGGCCCACGCGACTTTGGGGTGCCCCCTTTGGCCGCGTGGCCTAGAAAGCAGGAGAGACTTTGACTGAAACTTGGTACAAAAGAGCTCTTGCCAGTAGACCGTAAAAGAATGCCACATGACTTTAGATTAACTAAAGATCCTGCTTGATACAGTTGACAATGCCAGCGGCCCGAAACACAGATGTGTGCTATTTCTTGATTTACAGCACCTGGAGTTAGGACCGTGAGAATAAAGAGCAAAGACATGAAAGTATTTTAAGTTAAAAAAAACTTAGTTTCTGACTGCTCTTTTGCAATAATGAAACCCAAATTGTAGGCCATAGCAGGAGGAAATACCTAGTCTTTACACCATCTGTATTCTTTTTGTTCTGAATCTTTGTTTGCTTTATTAGAACTATGTAAGTAGTTCTACAAAGAAGTATATAATAATCCAGAAGAAGAAAGGGGCCTCAGAACCCCTCCCTGATAGTAGATCACAGGAGGAGAAAAATGAGAAAAGAAACCTCATCAATGCTCTGAATCCAGGAAAAGGGGGGACTTGTTTATTCCTACAAGAAGAATATTGTTATGCTTAAACAAGCACAAATGCTGTTTAGCGTAAAAGGGGGGGAATGTTGGGGGAAATTGATAGCTATTTTAAAATATAGCACAGCAATTAGGGGACTGTTTTTTACAGCCCAGATGTTTAACAGCCCAGTGATTTACCTCGTTTCTTCTAGCTTATCACCTACATACCAGAGACAGTGAAGCGCTCTGCTTTCTGCTTCTGTAAATTATCTCCAGCTTTGGTCTGAAGGACAGGCCTCCCCCTCGCTCTATCCCCCAGCTCTATAAAACGGCTGCTTTTCCTTTGTTCAGGGCTCAGAATTTGGAGACTTCCTCCTCTGAGCCCGTGCACGTTAATAAACCTCGTATTCCAGAAACCCTCGGTGTCTGGTTGCTTCATTTTCCTGCAACAACACAACCGAATACATTTTGATTCTGAAGCACAGGCCCTGGACACAGGACGCAGACCTCTAACCAGGATGCTGATTTGTAACCAGGATGCCATGGCCAGAATATGCAGCTGGAGCCAGACACGGGGCCCCAGTTGCCAGAGGCCAGAGGCAGGAGCTGAACCAGATCCTCCCGTTGTAAACAAAACTGTGATTCAATAAGATAAAACCCTTGTTTCTCTAAAAGCAAACTTCAAAATCTTGCCAAACCCAAAAGCAATAGGCCAAAAGACAGTGAACAAAAAGGATGCTGACCTTGGAGGGCAGATGTCCATGATCTCTCAGCTTCAACAAGTTCAGAAGTTAGCACTCTCTCACCATTCATTCCACATCGTCAGCTTTTCAAAACTGTGGGGGATTAAATAGTCATTATTTTCCACAAACCTTGTCAGCTCTAACACCAGTGGGATAATAATCAAAATAACATAATCAGATCAACACAAGATATTCAGTATTAAATATGTGCATGAGTACAAATGAATACCAGACAATGAGGTGATATCAGGCGTACAGAGCATTTGGGAGTCTGGGGAAACAGGGTCTTATAGTGGTAAAATGGGTGATAGACAGGAAATTTATGAAAAGTGCAGCATTTGTGGAATGTTACTTTTTATTAAGCAATCCCACAAACTATAGGACACAAGCTAAACTAATAAACTTTTCCAAATTTCATCAACACAATCATTCTGTTGAGAATAGGTTACTTTGCTAAAATTGTTAAATCTTGTGGCAACAGCAGCAGACACAGCCTGAGAGCGCTACCAGCTGCCAGGAGGGCCTTGCATCGCCCACAGGGGGTCAAAGGTCTGAGCATCTCTGTCCAGTGCAGTGCGGACTGTCCTCCTCTGCCTGCAGCCACCGAAGTGCAGTGGGGGCAGCAAGTGCAAGGCAGGGGACCGTGAAGCCACAACCAGGAGGCGAGCCATGACCACACAAGTGGGACAATAAGATTTGTCATCTCAGTGACACATGAGATGGCAGCAGAGAGCCGCACTTGGGACAATTTTCCTAGGGACCATCCTGTGCTAGGGTAAGTTTTAAATTTTTCAAAGGACTGAAATTATATACACTATGTTTCTTTCTGACATTGCTGTTAATATAGAAATCAGGAACAGAAAGTAACTAGTAAGTCCTGATATTTAAAACTTACTAAACGCGCGTCTAAATAACATTGCAATCAACAGTCATATTCTACTGCATTCAACCACTTTTCCTGCTGACCAGTCACTAACATCTTATTCCCAAAAGGCCCACGAGATGGCAGCAGAGACACACCTGGGAACATTTTACTATTTGCTTGGCCAACAGGTTCATTTGGTTTTTAGGTAAAGAGACAATGAAAGACGCTTTTCACTTTAACCAATAATTTCCTTAAAGAACGTATTCACCATTTTGTTCTACTGCTTTCTGCAATCTTTCAGGCATCTTCATAACTACATCTTCCCAAAAGTTTTTATCTTTTGGCCAAGCCAATAAAAAGCCAATTTCAACAAGCATCGCAGCATTGAAAGTATATACGATGTTTCTCTAAGTGCTCTCATTGCACTTAAGCTAAAATTTACAAAAAACTGAGTGACTGGAAGCCCTGGCTGGTGTAGCTCAGTGGATTGAGCGCGGGCCTGCGAACCAGACAATAGCGGTCTGATTCCCAGTCAGGGCACATGCCAGGGTTGCAGGCAGGTTCCCTGCAGGCCAGTTCCCTGCAGGCCAGTTCCCAGCAGGGGACGCACGAAAGGCAACCATACATTGATGTTTCTCTCCCTCTCTCCTTCCCTTCCCCTCTAAAGATAAATAAATAAAATCTTTTTTAAAAAAAACTGAGTGACTGGAAAGTCCTTTTATTTGGTAGTTATGTAGTACACTTCTAAATAACCACAAAAATAGGACTTCCGCCAAGATGGAGGCATAGGTGGAAACACCTTGCGTCTGTGCACAACCAAATCTAAGAACAAATTTTTAACAACAATAAACACAACTAAAAATCGACAACACGGAGTCCAAAAACAATGAAATGCTCAGCTAAACTGGTAAGAGGGGCGAAGCCAGCAGCGGAGCAGGTTGACCAAAAAGATCCCGACCTGGTGGTGCGCAAGCAGGCGAAGGTGCAGATCACAGGTGCGGGCTAGCTAAGAGGCACGGCTGGCTGTTGGCGGTAGGTCGCACATTTGCATGCAGATAAACCAGTGAAGAGGTGAGCATTGAGACCGCACGGCGCAGGGCAGCAGGCTTGCACAATTCTGCTCCGATAAACAGACCAGGGGGAGTGGTGGGACGGACTAGGCTAGTGGAGAGGACAGCCATTGCTCCCTCTCTGACCCCGCCCCCACATACAGCATCACAAACCAGCGACCTGGGTGGCCCCACCCTGGCAAAGAACTAAGGCTCCGCTCCTCATACTTAACGGTGCAAACAGACCAAAAATGGCTCAAGAACAACTCAGAGCCCCAGAGATGATAAATCTAAGCGATGAAGAAATAGCCAAACTTTCAGATGCACAGTTCAAAACACTGGTGATCAGGATCCTCACAGAACTGGTTGATTTTAGTCACAAATTAGAGAAACATGAAAGCTAAACTAATTGAAATGAATGGTAATGCACAGGAAGCCAATAGTAATGGAAAGGAGACTGGGACTCAAATCAAGGGAGTAGACCAGAAGGAAGGAAAAAATGACCAAACAGAAAAGGATAAAGAAACAAGAATTCAAAAAAATGAGGAGAGGCTTAGGAACCTCCAGGACATCTTTAAACATTCCAACATTCGAATTATAGGGGTACCAGAAGGGGAAGAGGAACAATCACAAGTGGAAACCTTATTTGAAAAACTAATAAAAGAGAACTTCCCCAATCTGGCAGAGGAAATAGACTTCCAGGAAATCCAGGAAGGTCAGAGAGTCCCAAAGAAGTTGGACCCAAGAAGGAACACACCAAGGCACATCATCATTACATTAACTAAGATTAAAATGAAGGAGACAATCCTAGAAGCAGCAAGAGCTAAGGGGACTGTCACCTACAAAAGAGTTCCCATTAGACTGTCAGCAGATTTCTCAAAAGAGACCTTACAGACAAGAAGGGGCTGGAAAGAGGTATTCCAAGTCATGAAAACCAAAGACTTACAACCAAGATTGCTCTATCCAGCAAAGTTTTCATTTAGAATGGAAGGACAGATAAAGTGCTTCTCAGATATGACCAAATTCAAGGAGTTCATCATCACCAAGCCCTTATTATATGAAATGTTAAAGGGACTTATCTAAGAGAAAGAAGTTAAAAAACATGAACAGTGAAAGGACAGCAAACTCACAGTTATTAACAACCACACCTAAAACAAAAGCAAACTAAAAGGACAGCTAGATCAGGAGCAGAACCATAGAAATGAAGATCACATGGAGGCTTAGCAACAGGGGAGTGGGAGAAGGAGAAGGGGGGAGAAGGTACAGAAAATAAGTAGCATAGACAGTAGATAGAAAATAGATAGGGGGAGGGTAAGAATAGTAGGGGAAATATAGAATCTAAAGAATTTGAGACACATGGTCATAAAGTAAAGGGGGAAATCGTGGGGGAGGGGTGTGCATGGTGGAGGGGAATGGAGGGGGGAATAGAACAAATGTAATGGCATAGTCAATAAAAAAGTTAAAAGAGAAAAGAAAGAAAAACAAACATGCACTCCCACCTCAACCCCAGGCTTTCCTATCTTCTGCTTCAACTCTTTCCCTCAGGCAGTGCTTGCAGTCGGTCTGATGGGGCAGCACGTGTTGCGAATTTCCCCAAGGAGCTCCCCCTACAGGACGCCCTCTGGTATCAGCACACAGGCAACATCACCTCCTTTCAATGAAGACTGCCCTGTGGAGGGGATGCTGCTGGTGCTTCCTTCATTTGCCTACAATCTTTCCTGTTCCACATTATTCTCAAGTTTCATCCGTTCACACCACCACACAATTTGCTTGCAAGCAGAATGGTTTCTATATATTTCCATAGACAACCCCATGTGGAAATGAGGTCAAGAAAGTTTCCCCCACACACACACCCAGCTTAACTTCTGGGGAACCCAAACATCAAAGGGATTCACTGTAATCTTGCAGGTGCATATGATTTTTGACACTGGATTTGGATACTTTGAGTATGTCATCTGTCTCCTGCATGGCATGGTGTGGTCTGTCCTCAGTGAACATCTGGACTCTATGGCTCTGAACTGCCAATGGTCTGCCAGACCTGTGGGGCACCTTTGTGTGAGAAATCTTGGGATGAAACTTTGCAAACCACCTCGGACACATTTCATCACCTACAACGCCTTCTCCATACACACCACCAATCTTTATTTTGCATTCCAGTTGCGTGTTCACCTTTCTTGAAATGACAGTGTAATGTGCCAAAAGCATTCCTTCTGTTCATCCATCTTCAGTATGAAAATGACCACAAAATCGCAGTGGTTTCGATGAGTTTTTTTCTTTCAATGCACATTTGTATGACATTTGTCACAGTGCAGTCTGACCCAACGCTTTTCAGTAAAATTAGACAAGTTAGCAAACCAGAGTCACAGGACAGGGCAGTGAGAGGGGTGAGGGCCAAACTGACTTTTGGGCCAACTTGATATAAATGAAGCTTCAACCAGAATCGCATCATTTACAGTATGTTTTTTGTTCAGGCAGCACTTAAGCTAGAATTCACTGAAAATGAGTGACTGGAAAGTTCTGCTTTGTACTTCTGAAATAGACCCCTACAGACCTTCCAAAATGAACCACCATGTGAGTTACAAAATAATTTGAACTGAATGATGCTAAAGATACTACACACTGAAACTTAAGAACAAAATCTGCACCTTTGAACACATGGGTTAGTCACAAAACCTCCAACTGTACCAGAGTTGCACCCTTTTAGGAACTGAAAAGCGCAAATGAAGACAAGACACACTGGAGGGAACTGTGTCTAGACGCGTCCAGAAGGGCATGCACATAAAATGACAGTGATGTTATTTTATTATGTTTTGTTTTATTTTATTGTATTCTATTTCTGAATGGAGGATTTTGAATACACTTTACTTTCCCTTTGTTTAACGAAGCTGCAACAGACAAAGCAAATTACAAACAATTTTCAAACACACTTCGAACTTGTGAAGACTTCACTCTATGACGCTACAAAGCCATTACCAAATAATGTCGCATAACACACGTTCATCGCTCCCTTTGCCCTTAACTTGCACACCACTCACAAGGTAACTAGACCGTGCTGACATTAGACGCTTTGGAATGCACTTGGAAATACCACTACCGTCAAAAGCCATTGATATTCCACTACAATTAACCACTTTTCCTGCTGAACTGCACTGAGGTGTCATTCCCAAAAATAGGCACAAGATGGCAGCAGAGACCGACACTTGGAACTTCTTTCCCACAAATGGCTCAGCTGAAAGGTTCCTTCACTTTTTACTTTGAGATGCGATGACAGGCGCATTTTTCATTTTTCCTCAAACACAGTGACTGCACAAGGTCGTCACCGTTTTGTTCCACTACTTTCTGCCACCTTTCAGGTAATTTCAACATTCCATGGTCCCCGAACTTTATCTTTTGGAGCAGAGAGCTCTTCCAGGTAGCTTCTACAGTGTTCCAGGGAATGGAAATTTCTCTCCAATAAGAGAAATTCAGACAGACCAAAGTAATTGGCCACGTGAAGGTGCAAGGTCTGGTGAGCACTGCAGATGAATCAGGACTGCGCAGCCAGGCTGGAACCTTTTTTCACTGGTCACCAAAGAGAAACATGCATTCTCACCTTATCATGAAGCTTCTGCTGACAAATTCCACACTCATTCCCTCAGGCGGTGCTTTCAGTTGGTCTGACCTGGAGCAGTGCTTGTTGCGAGTCACCTGCCAGCTTTCTACAAGGAACTCCTTCTCCAGGACCCCCTCCAGAAACCACCAGAAGGGTAACATCACCTCTTTCGGATGAAGACCAACTTATGGAGGGGCCTGGTGTTGGTTCCTTTGCTGACCCTCAATCTCTCCAATTCCACATTATTCTAACACATCAACCATTCATCACCCCTCACAATTTATTTTGGAAATGGAATGTTTTTCTTACATTTCAATAGAGAACCACATGTGGATATGTGGTCAGGATGGCTCCGTCCTTCTACCCACTTAACTTCTGTGGAAACCAAACATCAGGGAGACTAACCTAACTGTGCTGGTGCAAATGATTTTCAATGCTTGGTTAGGATACTTTGAGTTTGTTGCCTGTCTCCCACCTGCCATAATGTGGTGTGTTTTCAGTTATCATCTGCGCTGGATGACTCTCCACTTCGACTGGCCTGCTGTCAGACCAGTGCAGCAACTGTGCACCACAAATCTCTGGAATGAAACTTGGAAATACACTTGTGACACGTTCCATCACTCACAGCAATGTCTCCATACACACCCCAAAAAAATCTTTCTTTGCCTTACACTGGCACTTGTACCTGTCTTGAAATGACAAAGCCTAAAGGACTGAAAATGTTGCTTATGTACTTCCATTTTCAGTGTGAGAAAGTGGCACATATTCTCCAGTTGTGATAAGATTTCTTTAATGCAAGCTGGTATGACAGCTGTCATGATGCAGTCTAACAAAATGGTTTCAAATGACATAAAGGCAAGTATGTGAGACCAGAGCCAGGTGATGGTGTGGGGTGTGGCGGTGGGAGAGGGTGGGGGGCTGAACTGACATTTCTACCAGCCCCATTTAAAGCAAGTTTCAACCAGCATCGCAGCCTCGAAATACTATACAAAATGTTTTTGCCCTCATAGCACTGAAACAGCATTCACTGAGAATAGATGACTAGAAAGTTCTGTTCTTTGGGACTTCTGAAATAAACTCCTAAAGAACCTCTGAAATAAACTGCCATTGGCATTACAAAGTAACTGGACCTGAGTGATGATAAAGATGCTCTGTAACAAAACTTGAGAAAGAAATCTTCACCCTTGAATGCACAGCTTAGGCAAAGAAGCTGGAAATGCACATGTTCTGCACCCGTACCAGGAACCTAAATTAGTAGACAAAGTCCAGGGAAAGGGAAGAAACAAGCCCGTAGACAGGTCCCAAAGGGCAGGTACAGACAATGATGGCGCTGGTACTTTACTTTGCTTTTTGTGTATCTCTTGTAGCACCATCATATATAAATTTTACCTCCACATTGTTTAAGGAAGCTGCAACAGACAAAGCAAATTACAAATGACTTTCACTCACACTTGGCACTTGTAAACACCTCCCTGTATTACGCTACAAAGCCACTTCCAAGAAACGTCCCATAAAACACATTTATTCCTCCCTTGGCCATTACTCTGGAGACTAGTCAGAAGATAACTGTATAGTCCTGACATTTAGATGTTTTCCAATGCACTCGTAAATACCACTGCTGTTATGGGAAATGAAGCGACCAGACACCGAGGGATTCTGGAGTACGAGGTTTATTCCTTTTTACGTGCAAGGGCCCAGAGGAGTCAGTCTCCAAATTCTGAGCCCCGAACAAAAGATTCTTAGGGAATATATAGATTAGGGGTCTTCCTATCTACGTGGCAAAGCAGGATACAGAAGCAGAATGCGGTAATTAGTTCTAAATTCGGGGCAGAAGCAGAGTTCAAAGGCTAAATGTGAAAATTGGTTCTATCTGCGGGGGTGCTAGCCCTAGTCCTAGTGACTATCCGCCTATCTGCTCTTCCTAGATGGCCTTATTGTTCTCCTATGGCGCCTGGGGTCTTGGGTGAGCAAAGTCTCCTGGGACCTCTCCCTTCATTTCCAGTCCTCACTATCGGGCCACCTGCCCTCCCAGACGGCCCCATCATTCTCTCTAGAGTGCCTGTGGCCTGGACAAATAAAGGTTAAACAGAGGTTTTTCAAAGTTTCCCATATCACTGCCATCAAAAGTCATTGATATTTCACTGGAATCAACCACTTTTCCTGCTGACCTAAACTAACACGTCATTCCTAAAAACAGCCACAAGACGGCAGCATAGACAGACACTAGGAACATATACTGTACAGTGGGCTTGGCCACAAGGTTCCTTCATGTTTTCCAGTAAAATTCAATAACAGGCACATTTTTTCATTATCCTCAACAATGTGAGTGGTTCATGTGAGTGGTTTCAACATTTACTTCCATTGTCCTCTGTTATCATTCGGCTCACTTCACCATTCCATCTGCCCACAACATTGTTATCTTTCTGAGCACAGAACTCTTCCAGGTCCCTTTTGCAGTCTTCCACGGACCAGAAATTTTCTCCACTAAGAGAATTTAGGAAAGGCTGCTGAAATACCTGGCAGTCTGAGGATACAACGTTTTGTGTGTACTGTGGATGTATCAGGACAGCCCCGCCAGGCTGGAACCGTTTTCCCCTGGTCACCAAAGAGAAACCTGTTCTCTCCCTTTTCCTGATGAATGATTGATTACACATCTTCTGCTGACAAATTCAGGACTCTTCCCCTGGGGCAGTGAGTTCCACTGGTCCAATGGGGAGCAGTGCTTTGGAAGTAAACACTTGGTATACGGCAAGGAGCTCCTAGTACAGGACTCCCTAATGATCCCACCATGTCCAGAGCATCACCTTCTTTGGGTGCAGAACACACTTCAAAGTGGCTGGTGGCCCTGATGAAGAGCACTGCCTTCGTGTTCCCACGATCTCTCCCACTCCACATTAGTGTCAAATATCAACGATTCATCCCCCTGTCCACAATGTCTTGGAAACATAACATTTTTCTCACATATGAGCAGACAATTTGATGTGGA